ATTAGGTTGGAGGCCATCGCTATTGGGTTGGAGGCCATCGCTATTAGGTTGGAGGCCATCGCCATTAGGTTGGACGTCATCGCTATTGGGTTGGAGGCCATCGCTATTAGCTTGGAGGCCATCGCTATTAGGTTGGAGGCCATTGCTATTAGGATGGTTTGGCCTCGAGCAACTCAAAGACCCTGAAACCAATGTCTTACTTGTCGGTTCATGTCTTGGTATGGAAACCCTGTCTGTTGTAAAAAATAATCCACCCACAACTGGGAGTAGCTACATCAAACCGTATGGTTTGGCAAACTGTGGATCAACAAGAAAAGAATAGGCTTCATATGCACAAGCAATCTCCCTGCCTGGCGCGCATCAAAGCCACTATCCCTCAATGTTGTGTAGACCTCCTCAATGACCTTGGTCTCACAGCTTGCTTGGCTTCAAAATTGAACAGAGTGAGCCATGAGTGCTTCAGTGCTTCAGAAGTGATCCAAAGAACGTAGCCTGAAAGAGTCTGAACAAAAGACATAGCGACGGCCTCCAACCTAATAGCGTCTTTGCTCCGTTCGTAGCGATGCCGATTGCTCCTAGTAGCAAAGGAACCTAATAGCGATGGCCTCCATCCTAGAAGTAAAAGCAACTGTCAGAAAATGTACTTGTTCCTAGTAGCGTCCTTGTTACTACTAGTAAGGCACTTGTTACTAGTAGCGTGGCACTTGTTACTAGTAGCGTGGCAACTGTCAGTGGACTGATTCCGTCAAGTCGGCCACGACTATCGTATGCCGAGAATCTTCAGGCCCACTTTTGGCCTAGAGGAGCGCAAAATGCAGCAAGCACAGTCTGGCATTACTACTATATAGTAACAAGAAGCTACTAGGGGCTCCTGGCCTTACTACTAGGAGCAAGAAGCTGCTAGGAACAAAGTGCATCGCTACGAACGGAGCAAGGACGCTACTAGTAGCTCCTCTAGACTCCAGGTCAAAAGTTGTCCGTCCTGGACTGAGTCACGCGTCTTTCAAAACGTCTCAAAAGCCTGGCTCGGAGGAGCACCAGGCGCTTTGACAAAGGCCTCCTTGGTATCAAGCTGTTCGTTTCTCAGCGACCATTTCTAGGGTGGAGGCAACAAGAAGCGCGTGACGAAGAATCGCAACCGCAACAAGAATCGCCTTTTAGTCAAGCCTCGTGCACTTTTGCTTTCTCAACTGCCTGCGTCCAATAGCGTCTTTGCTCCGTTCGTAGCGATGACAGGAGCCCCTAGTAGCGAACATTGTTACCACTAGTAAGGCACTTGGTTCCTAGTAGCGATGCACTTTGTTCCTGTGTGATGAAAAATCGGTCTGTATGAAACCGCAAAACATGCAACCATCAGATGTCTGCGTGGCATCGACATACCACAGCCAGAACATTCTCCACTGCCTCACTGGGAGGAGCCCCGGGAGCTTTGACAAAGGCTTCCTGGGTCTGATTGAAAAAGTGCCTTTCCAACACGGGAAGCTCAATGATAGCACAATCACAGCTTGAATTGCTGACACATCCCCTCTCTCTCTATGTACATATCTACATACTATATATATATAATATATATATATACATATACGTAGTCATATAGTCTTGATTGCTTTCTGAAGTACAAGCTTCCTGAGGAGCAGCCCTTGAGTCTTCACCCTGACAACTGATGCGACGGGAATAAATCATGACAGGATTCAAAACCAACATTTGTGCTGCATCATTGTGAAAGAAAGACAATTGATGTCAAGTTTCCCAAATAATCGAGGAACCAAATGAATTAACCATGTGAGGGCTTCTTCAAGGAAGCCTCCCCCCAGCCCTCAGGTGGGGGGCTTCCTTGAAGCCTGAGAAAAGAGTTCCATCAAAAAAAGTGTTGCTTTAAGTCTCTGTGAGCCTCCATGCTGCCACTGCTTCCGCTGATTCAATGCCGTATTTTGCTGTATGTAGGCACGTGATGGCTTCGATCAAACGTGTCAGCTAGATTGTCTCGCCCCTTACATGACTTCCCTCAGAGTGCTGCATCGTTGGTGCATCCGGCAAATAAAAAAAGAAGGACTAAGCTGCTATCAAAGACTCATAGTATGAATGATGGTCGATATCTTTGTGAGCAAAACACAGCGATAGATCAAGCACTTGGCAAGCACATGGTAAGGCGACTCTGTCTTGAACAGTTCTTGCTTCAAAACTCCAGTGTGCAAAAACCCAGCTCTTGTGCAGATTGCGTCTGCAATTTTTCTTGTGTGATTGCACTCAACCCCCCGAGCGCACACCAAAATGAGACTAGGTGAGCCTAGAGCTGAAAGAAACGCCTCGCTCACTTCGTTCGACCTCAATTCAGACGACGACAAGCCGCTGACCATTTATTTTCTTTTAGGCTGTAGACGTGTTGTTTTCGTTTATGTTTTTTTTGCCTTTCTTCAGATCCCTTTTCCTTCAACCAATTTGGGCAAAATGCAAATCACAAGACCCTGACGTGCGGTTGCCGGCTCAAGTGTCTCTTTCTTCGACGCCTTGGACCTTGTGCCATTGACGTTCGATTTGGCCTTTGCCTTTGCCTTGACGGCCATTCCCTCTGCACTGTTTGCATTGCTTGCCGCTCCAACGATCTTTCCTTTTCCCGGTGAACCGGGTGGCGGTGGTGGAGGTGCTCCTGCTGGTGGCGGAGGTGCTCCTGCTGGTGGCGGAGGTGCTCCTGCTGGTGGCGGAGGTGCTGCTGTTGGTGGCGGAGGTGCTGCTGTTGGCGGCTTCGGAACGTTTGCAGCCTGCGGAGCCTTTGTCCCCGGCGGTGGCGGTGGAGTTTTGGGTATCGATGGCAAACTGCCGTTGCTCGGTGGCGGGGGTGGCGGCACCTGACCAACAAGAACACGAGAATGTCTTTGCAGGGTAACAGGAAACATGTTCAAAGAATGCACAAGCACGCAACTCAGAAGCGGCTGTAATCTCGTTTTATGTTTGAACAGTGTTTGTCCACCCTTCACGCCTGAAGGTCTATGTCCAAGTCTGCAAGAATCTCATCAGCCTCGTCCTCGGCATCGTTTAACAGCATCAAAAATGAAAGGAATCAGGCGAAATGAGACGGAGAAGAAGAGGCTCCAACATAGTTTGAAGTTGCTTTGTTTTCTTTTCTCTTAACTTGAAGAGCGAAAGAGGCGATCCCTTCGTAAAAAGAAAATGGTGTGCGCTTAAGCAACCACTAAATTTAGGCCTAGGCCCTCCGGACTTTGTGCTTACCATACTATCCTCTAACCACTAGCGCTACTGTCCTTGAGCGCCTTTTCTTCTCTTACTTTCGTCACCCCAAGCCCAATCCCAAGCGGCTTTGGCGACACATGCAGCAGGCTGCTACCACAGGGAGCCTGGCCATTCTCCAAAGCAAAGCCGTCGCCAAAAGCCGGGACCACCACCTACCAGCCAGTCGTCCAAGCTCAACACCTTGTCGGCTACCCAGCTAAGCTCGGCATCAATCCGACTGAATCTTCGTTCAGGTAACCTGCACAAAGAGATTGAACGCTTCAACAGAGCAGACGCAACGCTGAAAAAGAAAACCACGCCAGGCTCTGCCAATCGACGTGGTTTCGGTCTTGCCGCAGCTGCACTCGCGCATGTGGCCACATACGTCCTTCATAGTTGTCAATGAAGCTCGTCCACCTGCGTGGGTTGGTCGAAGGGGTAGGTGGACAATAGCATTCGTCGATCCTGCAAGCGAAACACTGACCCTCCTGCGGTTCGGTAGAGGAGACTCCACAAACTTACTTGCGGCGCCTTGACCTACGAAACCGCCTATATTTAAAAACATAACGCGTGCAATGGCCTGCCAAATTAAGTTCGATCTTATTCAGAGAAGGTTGTGAGGAAAATGCATTTTTTGTGCAGCATATTGAAATGAGCTATGGAGAGGCCGGGGACATGGAGGCTATGAGCGTTGGAGGTCTTGTTGGGGTTGCCTCGATCACACAACCTGCGTGGACCCCGCAAAAATTAAACGCAATGCGCCACAGAGGAACCCTCTTTTCCTCCGGGCGTCATCTTAGAGGACATGGACTGCGTCGAAGGCATTGAGGTAGGTCAGTAACCACCTTAGCCTCCCCAACATGCCACATGTAGCCTTCAGTATTATTCCTTCCCGGTGACCTTTGCAGCCCTTTTGGCACATTGCTTCGGCAATGCGCTTTTTTTGGTGCACAGTAGCGACACCTGCCTTGTTAATTGGCTTCCAAACGCCAAGAGAGCAAGCCTCACTTGACCCGTGGGCGGAATGGAAAGTCATGGAAAGCCTCAGCACCCCCCCACCACCGTCTCCACACTCACCTGGGCTGAAGATTATCGCGGGGAAGCGCCCTCAGACAAATTGCCAGGAGAACCGACTTGCGCCTCTGCTCAGCTCGACAGAACCTGGCCGAAACTGCTTCATTTAGTTTGATTCGCAGCCGGGCCAGAGGGCTACACAGCAACCTTTCAAAAGATTGATCCTTTTTCGTTCGCAACATGCACTTATCTTCCCAAAGAATGGTTTTACAGGCGGAGAAGTGGAGAAGTGGAGTAGCTGGATAGGGCCGAGATGAACGTGTGGCAGAGCTGCGTCAACATGTTGTGTTTTTCGACCGCGATGAATTGTATTCTTTTTGTTGTTCGCAGAACAGCATTCTATCTTTCAGGAGCTTACTATGGATCGAAGTCATGCGTCGGACCTCTTCTCAACCTCCACGACCTTCGCACAGGCTGAGTCCCTTCCTTGAGCTTTTTTTCTACTCAGCCTTCACCTCGTCCAGAATCCCAACCCCCATCATATGAAGGAAGCACTAAAAACCGCCAAAGCTCTCGGGCAAAAGTTTCCGAGGCCTCTCTCAGCATTCTATCTCAAAGGCACTCTAGTTACTTCTGCTGCATTCAGGCTTCCGCCCTGAGCACCACGTGTGGAAGCACGCCATCACCACGACCTTCCTGCAGAGTTATCCTGTTTTGGGCTTCCTCACTCCAGAAAGAGCTGACCAAGGGTCCATTGTCTTGAGGAGTGCCTTAGTTGGGGTCTAACACGCACCCGAGCCGTTGAGGTGGAGTGCGGGTCAAAAGCCCTTGCCCTCCATGATGTGGAACCCTATCTTTCCTGGCATCCTGAACTTGTGCCACACTCAGTGGATCCGCTCTTGGGTCAGTCATCACCTGACAGACCTCCCCTCGGCACCGTCCGCCGAGACACGACGAAGCTGCTGGGATTGGAGGCGCTCGACCCATCCTTTCCTGAGCAATCAAAGCGTCCAGATGCCGATCCATAGCGCCCACTTCCAAAGATGGCCTTCCCGCTTCCTGCTTGATCTCGTCGGCCTTCTTCGGCCAACAATTCCTCAAGAAAGAGAAGCGGTTTTAGTCCCTTGAGCCAAAGCGCTCAAAGTCGCGTTGAACTTGATTGTGAGCTGACACGAACTAAATCCTTGAGAGATGCAGTTTCGAACATGCCGCAAGTTCTAAACAGCTCACTTATTTGCACTCGTGCAACTTATATGAATTCATATTGACTCAATCTGCTGTTTTTGGCCAAGTGAAAACCATTCCCCACGCGCCATCTCACTCCCTTGTGCCCAATCACACTGGTGAGCTCCACGATCTGCTGTTGGGCTTCTTCCAGCAACCTAAACACCCGCTGCAAGAACCGACGCAACATGTGTGAAATGGAATCTTCGAGGGAAGCAAAGTTCAAGAGTTTAAACAGTGTCTTGTTTTCTGTTATGCAACGTGCTGCTTTGTTTCCGTTTGCATCTCACATCTTAACTTGTCAAAGGAGAAAGAACGAGAACATCGGAGAACAACAGAGGGCCCTTCACGGTACGGAACAAAAGCAACAGAAACCATGTCGTCTTGTGAACTGGTCACTCACTGAACCACTCTGAAACGTCTGAACTGGACGCAAATCCAAGCAACAGGACTTGCGGACGTGTGAATCAGGCTGAGTCAAAACAGGAACAACAGTTCCAAACATGTTAATCACAAAAGAATTACAAACAAGTAAACAGAAAAAGAAAACAACCATGAAGCAAGGGTGCCTTACATTCCTTTTCTCATCTCTGGTTCTTCTTTTCTAAAGCTTTGCAGTGAGAGAATATCACAATTGATCGCACTGTCTGTTCTACAATAACTTGAGTGAGCAGGTGGATAAAAAGATATGGGGTTCTAATGTATTTGAGGCGGAGGTTTGTTGACTCAAGTTGGTCAATTGGTTGGCTACCTTGCTTACTGCACGCTGGTTCATGCCACATACGTACACAAAAGGTGCAAGTCAAAAAATGGACGCCACAGGGCAGTGAGAATGCGGTGACGGCTAACCAAGAGTATATCGAAAGGATCGTGAGACAAGGGAGAATAGGATCAAACGGGTAAGAGGAAAGAAGGTGTTGTGAATAGAACAACAATAAAATGTCAGTCTTGTATTTTGAAGGACACATATTATTTGCACAAGCCCAAACAGTTGGCGCCCCAAACTACTCCACAACATGTTAGAAATAGGAACAAGAAGCTGCTAGGAACAAAGGGCATCGCTACTAGGAACAAGGAGGCTACTAGTAGCTCCTGGCCTTACTACTAGTAACAAGGACGCTACTAGGGGCTATACACGGTACTTTATGGGGAACAGTCCATAAACTACATATACACCGAGGCAAGCAGGGCATACACATGTGTTGAGGCTGCAGTTGCAGATCGCGTTGCAAACGCAAATCAAAGCCGGTTTACAACTCGTTGGAACTAAACACCTGTGTCAACATTGATCCGGGAGGGATCAACCCTGAACTTAAACCCGTCCTGAACCTTCCTAGGCTCACAGACCCCTATATTTACATATATTTACATTATTTAGTCAAAATGTCAGTTGGCAATGTGGCACTCTAAGTTTCAGGCGCGGTAAGTTGTTGCTCACGTCTCTTGGCATCTTCCAATTCTTTGGTGAGCACCACCTTCAGTCAATGTGGCACTGCACAGCTCGATTCCGGTGAGGGAAAAGCTAAAGTGTCCACAAGAACCATGTCATTCGTTGGACTAGGTTTCTTAGGAGAATCCTTGCCGCTATAAAGCAGTGGAGCTATCTTAAAGCGATAAAAAGTTGCAGTGCGCGCAAACAAAACATGGAGCATTTACCAGCAACAGCATCGACGACTCCCCAACACATACACGCATACACATATACACACATCCACAAACAACAAGGAAAACACTGGAACAGGATAATTAACAACACCGCAACACACCAAGAAAACAAGAAGGCAGCTGAGAGCGCATACCGGGAGGCAAACATAGAACCGAACAAGTACCCACAAGTGACCCACATGTCACAGAGTTGATTGACAACCCAATGTCGGCAATGGGAGTTCAGTTGGGTTCCGCCAATCAGCAAACTTCCCCGAAAAAGAACAAAACAAAACCAAGTTGCCCTCAGAATCATGGGCAAACTCTGTGGAGGCTTGCGGCTTCGTCAGCAAAACAGGCTCTTGGGGAAAGGTTCGAGCATCTTGCTAATCTCCAAGTAGCAAGGACGCTACTAGTAGCTCCTGGCCTTACTACTAGAGACAAGAAGCTACTAGGGGCTCCTGGCATCGCTACTAGGAACAAGAAGCTACTAGGAGAAAGGGCATCGCTAAGCACATCTTGCACACTTGGAGGACCTGCACTCACGGTGGCCACACCACCTGGCTGTGCTCCATAGGAACTATGGCAGCTATCGGAGGTGCTCGCGTGCGGTCGTACTGGGTCTTGTCCACTGGGCACAGCCCGGACGGTCCACAATCGAACTCACCACTCAGGAGCAGGGACGCTACTAGGAGCTCCTCGCCTTACTACTAGGAACAAGAAGCTAGTAGTAACAAGTGCATCGCTACTAGGTTGGAAGAGGTGCCTTACCACTACTAGCTAGAAGCTACTAGGTTAGAGGCCATCGCTAGTAGGTTGGAGGCCATTACTACGCTACTAGTAGTAAGGTATTAGTAACAAGGTGCCTGCAAAGAGCCCAAGGAGATCCAAAGAGCCCAACGAGCCCATGACATCGAGGGACTGAACCAGCCGGGTCACTGCGTTTTTCGCGACCCCTGAGCAGTGGCGTTTTAGAAAAGGCCTTGGAACCACTCACCGACCAAGCCGGGCGCTACCATAAAGCACGCGCATTCCGTGCGTTTCACTCTGAAGTGAATCTCAACAGCAACATGTCGGCTGTCTGAACTCATGGAAAAGCCGAACATGCCAAAGGAAATGATACACATTGAAGTGTCATGAAAACTGCGTGCACAATTCGAAGCGTCGTTCTCAACAACGCACATGGACTCAAATGCATGAATCGTAAAACATTCTGACTTCTCCTACATACCTGGATGCTCATATGGTTTTAGCATGAACATTCTGCACTCATTGGAATGTAATGGAAGTGCTGTGTGGAACTGTCAAGCAAAGGTCAACAAATTTGGGATGACATGTCAATAATAGTGCCTGTATTCTCACCATATTAGGTTGGAGGCCATCACTTTTAGGAGGTGCCCAGCTACCAATAGTCCCTGTATTCTCACACACCGTGTTGCACCCCTCACACCGTGGTATGACGACAATCTCGCGCCTTCTCCCTGCGGACTGTTACCAATTCTGTCTCCTTCTCTTTCAGCTCTTTTGCTCTTTCAGCCTGAGGCAATACGGTGCGAAAGCCCTGATAGACTTGATACAGACTTGATAGACTTGATATGAAAGCCCGCAGTTCGTCAACATATACGCCGGAGTTGGGAACAAACGAAGGGCAGCAACTACGTCGTTCCAGGCGAAGAATGCCATGGAGAGCCCCATGAAAGCCCATTAAAACCCCAGGACTTCAATCACCAAACCTAGAAACATTAGAGAAATAGAAATGACGTTCAAATGAACTTTGTGGAAAGTTCTGTTAAAAGCAATAGAATGTTCCTTAAGGCACCCATTCTTTAAGGGAACTTTCCCTCAGCAAGCCATTCTTGACTGCTCTGCGGGGGTGGCTGTTTCTTTTCCCCCCCGCGGGACAGCTGTGACAAAGGTGGCACAAAAATTACGATGATTCATGTGTCTTTCACTTGTGAGGTGCAACCTTCAAGCCCCTCTTAGGTTGGAGCCCATCGCTCTTAGGTTGGAGGCCATCGCCATTAGGTTGGAGCCCATCGCTATTAAGTTGGAAGCCATCGCTCTTAGGTTGGAGGCCATCGCTCTTAGGTTGGGGGCCATCGCCATTAGGTTGGAGCCCATCGCTATTAAGTTGGAGGCCATCGCTATTACGTTAGTCGGAGGCCATCGCTATTGGGTCGGAGGCCATCGCTATTAGGTTGAAGGCCATCGCTATTAGGTTGGAGGCCATCGCTCTTAGGTTGGAGGCAATGGCTATTAGGAGGAAAGGAGGCCATAAGTTCCTTGGCAGTTTGCCTCAAAGTTGATTGTGAGACCTTGGGTCATTCAGTGTCACGCACGGGAGTTTCCTGGCCCTGAGGCGGGGGAGCTTCCTCGAAGAGCTCTTCCCCCATCCCGGCACCACTTTTAGCCACACTAAAAACAACACAAGCTAAGTAGCTAGTCGTACACAAGCTTCTTGCAAAAAGCTGTAAAATTTTGTCAGAAATCAGTTTTTGCTACCAAATACCTCACTCTTCCCATACATATCCTTATTGAGATGGTGTTGGCGTTCGGCCTTAGATCAAATTCATAGGATGAGTAGGTCCACCATGACATGCTTGAGGGATGTTGGCTATGACTTGTAGGTTCTTGTGACTCGTTCCCTGTCCTCTTTCCGCACAAATTCCGGTTCATGATAAAGGTTCCCTGAATTTGAGAGACTTTAAATACGAGTGGTATACAGTATGCAGTATACCATATACTTTAGTGCGCTTCCTTTGACCTGTTCATCTTGTGGCTTTTTCGCCTTGTTTTAAGCTTGAGGCTGAAACATCTCCCACCCACGTGCTCTAAAAGTCTTGAGGCATAAGATATTGTTCAATTCTTGGCACTTAAGCTCGGACCTCATTGTATTTGGCTGTCCATGATTATCACAAATGAACCAACTACAGCTGTCGGCTCGCTTTGTTTCAGTTTCTGTTGCAGTTTTGGTGTCGTTTGGAGCTTAGTATGACCCCAGGTAGTGACCCTGGAAATGTTGTTTTTGGGTACTTCATTTTGCTTCACTACTAGGAGCAGGGACGCTACTAGGGGCTCCTGGCCTTACTACTAGTAACAAGAAAGCTACTAGAGGCATCAAAAGTATGAGAGCGGATGTTTTGCTGCCATTGTACAGTGGATGGGGCATGGCAGCGGGCAGGGAATCAGCAAAACAATTCATGGAAAGAGCAGGCGTTCCAATTTGCATGTGTTCAGGAAATGTTGTTGGTAGAGAGCTTGTTAGGGTTTTCGTCAAAGCTAGCATTAGCTAAGACTTGTGTCCTGGAAAATCTAGGAACCAAATCATTAGTGCGAGCGCTTCTTCAAGCAAGCTCGGCCGCCTTTAGGGCGGCGGGGGGAGCTTCCTTGAAGAAGTGTGAGCCATCTTGCGTCCTAGCTAGGAGTTTCCTATTGCTAGTACCTTACCTCCTTACCCGATTAAGTAGGCTTTTGCTTAATCAAGTAAGGGCGGCTTTAAAAGACACTCTTTTGACACGTACTCTAATGACTGAGCCAAACCTCTGACAAGAGACGGTCTGCACTGGGTGACCTCGGCTCAGCTCCTGGCCTCTCTGGCTTTGGATTCAGCCAGCTCTCGTTCCATCTGCCAGAGGACAAATTGATCAACCGCAGGAAGACTCCAATTCTTTTTTGCGGAGTAAGAATCCGAGCTTGCCAAACACACTTGAACTTGACAAACGGACAGTCCGAATGCTCGGCTCGTATCAAAGTGTCTCAATCTCTTCCAATGTATCTCTTTAGATATATAGCCTATAGAGAAGGTAGAGAACGAAAATACATTCACAACTCTGGGAGAACAGGAAAAGGTCGGAAAATGAAACAACGAAAGAACCACACGCCTTGAGCTGCGACTTCTTCATGTCTTCAATCTGCTTTTCAAGCTCCTGGCTCATTCATGCTCATTCCATAGCTTCTAGGTTGGTTCTGCTCATTCGCTATTAAATTGCAAAGTGAGTCTATGCAAGGCCCTGAGATGCCCTGAGCAACACTCCTGACGAGACTCTTTGCCTCCAAGTTCCAAATCTCTTTCCTCGCTGTGCTGAAAACAAACCGCTTGGAACGTTGTTGGTGTCCGAGGCTTTGCTTACTTTGATGTGGTTTCCGAGGCTTCGGCGATCTGTGCTTGCTCAACTTGCTCAGTGAGTTCCTGCTTCTCCCCCATCTGATCTGTGTTTCTCTTTCCCGCTCTCTATCCTTTCTGAATCTTTCTCCTCTTGCCCTTGCCCTCTCTCTTTCTCTTTCACCGTCGGTCTTTAGCTTTTCTTTTAGCTTTTAATTTGAACAAAAGAGCTGCTCAGATGCTCAACTTGCCTCGTAGCTTTTCTGTGCCATTTTGGCACGTTCCTGACAGTTTGCTTTGCGAACAGCGCTTCTGCTTCTGCATTTCTGGTCTTCTTGTCTCACATATTTATATAAGCATACAAGAGCAAGGACGCTACTAGGGGCGCTCCTGGCCTTACTACTAGGAGCAAGAAGCTATTAGGTTGGAGGCCATTGCTAATTGGGTTCCTGTTGCTACTAGGAGCAAGGACGCTACTAGGTTCGCTTTGTCTTCTCTTCTCTTCGTCTCCGAATCCCGACATCTCCGCTTCACCTGCTCCTCTTCGAGCTTCTTTCGCAGTTCACCCTCCCGCTCCTAGCAAACCCATGCTGAGTTAAGACACTACAATGTGTGAACATAGTGGTTCTTTTAGTTTTTAGCCCGCCCTTAGGTTGGAGGCCATCGCTCTTAGTGCTTTTCCTTGTTTTCAATTTGTTCACTCCTGTCCTCCGCCCCATTCAGGTGTTCTGACAACTCAGCCTGCCTGCGCTCAGCAGCAGCCACCTTCATGGTGAAAGGTGAAAATTTGCAAGTTGATCTTTAAAACAGTTAAAACATTGTATGTCTCACCGTTTGCTGACATCATGGGGAACAAAGGCGTGCGGAACAAATGGTGGTGACATGCGAAAGGGTGGAGTTGGGTGGCTGAATCGGCTCAGTGTGGGAAGTTACAAATGCAAAACTGAGATCACGCAAAACATGTTTGAGAACTGAATGCAAAACATATTAGGACAACGGATTGGTGAACAAGTAAGGGAGGTGAACGGCACGGCTTCTGGTCCAACCTTTTCCGCCAAAGTCTGCGCTTCCACTTGCAGTTGCCTTGCACGAAGGCATGGAATCACCAGCGCTTTAAAGTGACTTAGATTCTACTACTAGCGATGGCCTCCATCCTAGTAGCTTCTAGTTACTAGAAAGCTTCAAAGACATAATAGAACGCTTTCTTGTTCCTAGTAGCAATAGCAATGACCCCCGACCTAAGAGCGATGGCCTCCACCTAATATCGTCTTTGTTCCTAGTAGCGTCTTGTTACTACTAGTAAGGCACCTGTTACTACTAGCGATGCACTTGTTCCTAGTAGCGTCTTGGCACCTATCCACTTTGGGATGTCAACATCGGCCCGGTCTACTTTGCTTCTTTTGTTGAGTTTGCTGCCTGGGCTCATGTGGTGAAACCAAATAGGCTGGGGGCTATAAGGCTGACCCCTAGTAGCGTCCTTGCTCCTAGTAGAAATGCCAGGAGCCCCTAGTAGCTTCTTGTTCCTAGTAGTACTACAGTAGTAAGGCCAGGAGCCCCTAGTAGTGTCCTAGCCCTATAAGGCTGACCCAATTTCAAGAAACCCTGTGAATGGGTTTTGAAGGGCTCGCGTTTGTCATGTTGGTCAAAAACTTGTTGGCATGACACAGCGTGACACAGTCAGAGGGAATAGGTGTAGCCTCCCCCTGCGAAAAGCCCGATCACTGCAAGATGAAGAGCTCGACCAGAACAAAACGATTAATTTTATAGGGCTGGCAACTGCAGCAGCGTCGGTGAATCAGCAGCAGCAGGAGCCCCTAGTAGCGTCCTCCTAGTAGCGATGCCCTTAGCTACTAGTAGCTTCTTGCTACCCTTTTGAAGGGAACAGCGAAGTCCTTCTGGCGCATTGTCAAATCAAGCCCACGTGCCAACTTAGCACCGAAAGATGTGAGAAGTGAGGACAGGAAGGCGTTCGAACTAATGAAGTATTGAATGTGCATTTATAAACGAACTAAAAAGTAGTAGCATGTAAGTTGTTTTAGCGCACATTGAAGCATTGAAGGCAGTCGTTTGGGGAAGTGGCAGAGACAAAATGATGCCAGAAGCCCTTGGGAATATGGTTCGGCAACGCTTGCTGTGCGACCAATGACCGGCTCAATCGAAGTGTTTCTTCGGGACTGCGAAGACCTTCCCTGGGAGCAGTGAGAGCTAGAAGCTGCAAGGTCAGATGCTACAGGACTGCTGCAAACACCGCAGAGGAATTGCTTTGATGATCACGAAGGCTGGTGACTGTGACCCAAAGCAGTGTTTGATTGGGTGATAGCTGAAGCGCAGGTCGAGCACAGGGTCCCACGGTGTTGCATGCGGTGACCGTTTTTGGAAAGCGAATGGGGAGCACTGGCGCTTTGGGTTAGAAGTGGCCAAAGCATTCCTACCCCTTCACCACACTATGCCCTTGTTACTAGTAGTTTCTAAAGGACTCCGAAGTTCATTCATGGCACCTCTCTTTGCCGCCGAGAGCTTCTCGCATGCCAAACAACCAGTCATCACCTTGCGGCAGGGAAAATGCAACTAATTCCAAAGACACATGCACTCTAGAAGGATATAAGTTGACAGGTCATTGCTTGGCATGCCCGAGCGTGGCATCTTTTTCCCATCAGCAAACTCGTTCTCTTCCAAAACTTGGCAAATAGTCAAGGAAAGACAGGAAATGATGGAATTGGACGAGAAATGATTCATTGGCAAATAGTCCGATTTGTTTCGTGGAAACGATTCGTCAAAAGCACAGTTCGGAACTCGAAACTTCCAACGCGTTCAAAGGAATGTTTGCAGCTGTCGCTTTGCTGTAGCGCAAAGTAGGCATTTGCGGTCTTCTTGATGGCTAGGTTGGAGGCCATCGCTATTGTGGAAGCCTTTTGGCCTCCCATTCGATGCCTGTGTAGTTCTTCTCTTCGTTGAGGCCTGGCAGGTAAGTTGCGGTTGAGTGCGCCTAGCGCGATTCAAGAACCACACCTGGCACAGCGTAGCCGGAATCACGCCATTCGGCAAATGGATTCCTGGCCGTGACGAAGACAAACCTTCTTTGCCAAACCGTTTTTGGAGAGAAAACAACACAAACAACATTTGTTACTAGTAGCTTCTTGTTCCATTCTTGTTCCTATGTAGTGATGGCCTCCAACCTACTTGCGATGGCCGCCACCTAATAGCATCCTTGCTACTAGTAGCTATTTGCAACGAGAAAATATACACTTGCATAAGAGACGGCTTTCATCTTGGCACTTTGAATATTGCCCGGGACTCCATGGATGTGCACCACTTGCGTTCGAAACCCCTCGTTCGCTGGTTGTTTGCCCGATACCCCTCATACATACCTGATACGCTCTGAGTGAGCTTAGTGAGTAGCTTAGTAAGTTTGTCCAATTCATAAAGTAAGTTTATCCAACTCAGTAACGGGAAGCTACTAGGGGCTCGTGGCATCGCTACTAGGAGCGATCGGACGCTACTAGGGGCTCCTGTCCCTACTACTAGGAGCAAGGACGCTACGAACGGAACAAAAAGACCTACCAGCGATCTTGGTAGCGTCAAACGCCTGCCTGGCTCCTTCGACGTTTGCGAGTTCCACCGCTTTGATACATATGGGCACTGCACCGCTGTTCTTTTTCTGCCCCAACTCCCTATCCTTAAAGACATTGTTGGCCAATTTGGCTAATTCAGTTTTTTGCTTCTCGAATTGGTAGCGTAGGAGCCCCTAGTAGCGTCCTTGCTCCTAGTAGCGCCCCTAGCCCATCCTTCAAGGGTGTTGGTGTTCTGAGACTTTGGGGATCGATGAGCCACAAGGTGTGCACAGAAGGAACCAGTACAGTAGGGGGATCTTCAAGCACTGTGGATTTGAACCGAACTCTTTGCATCATTTGTGCACCTGTCAGGGATTGTACCACAAAACCATGCGGCGGATTCTAGAAATTGCAAGATGATCATTTTGACTTTTTGGAGGCCATCGCCATCGCTATTGGAAACAAAAAAACAAGAAAAGGAAGAAAGGTCCGAAACATACTTTGCAAAATGACAATTTTGAATGTACAGCAACTTCTGCAGATTCCATGGGGTGGCAAGCCCTCCACAAAATTGAATGTCGCAGCATCTGGTTCGTGTCGAGAAGCAGCGATGATTCTGTTTCTGAGGCTCCGTCCTTGGAGCATCTGAGCCTTGGACAACAGAATTGCTTGGAAAGCACGTTTCTCATTTCTCAACAGAGCGCAATGTCAATCGCCTTTAGATCCCTTGGCATTCCGGAAAATGTGTTGCACACGCCTGGAGCACAACTTGCAAAGCAACGGATAGCAGCTTCTGAGCTAGACCAAGAATGGCCTCCGACCTAGTAGCAATGGCCTCCAACCTAATAGCGATGGCCTCCAACCGAATTGGCCTCCAACCTACTGCGTAGTTGAAACACATTGACTGGAAAGGAAGAACAAAAAAAACTGGCACAACTGGCCTGGATCCCACGAGCCGTGCAGCTAGGGTGA